AATGGAAGGTTTGAAATAAAGCGCAGGCAAAATCAAACATTAGCTGAAAATAATAAATAATTTCCTTTTGCTGCGATCGTTTGAATTGTAATATCTTTGCATGTCTGCAACCACAGAATATTTCTCGAGTCCGTGCAAACGTACGTGTGTACGTACGTACATGCGTGCGTGTATGTTTAATAACAGCGTGTGTTTACTAATCTATTAAATGGCTGATAAAATGGCGAGAGATAGTGTAATTAAACTAAGTGATAAGTTACAATAATATATATATCTTGATAAGATTCGTCTTTTCGTGTAAAAAATACCGCTGCTTCGTCGTACGTTCATCTGTAGTAGAAGCAATATGGCGCGGCGCATTAACACGACCGCCATCGAACCGCGTCGTCAGTCATCCCAAATATATGCAACTGTTAAAAATTCTCTCTATCAACAGATTGCAAGTAGTCGGTGGTCGTTTTCTGAGATTATCCTTTTTGAAAAGAGAGCGAGATCATTTCTAACAGATAGTAAATACCTGTTGGAAGAGCGAAATAACAACGTATCTGGAAATGGATTGGTGGTCGATAATAGCGGCGGTGTTGGCCATGGTTTATTATCGAACCACTCGTAATTTCAACTTCTTCGAGAAACGTGGGATTCCGTACGTCAAATCGATAGTGTTTGTAGGAAGCTTGTGGGAGATGTTTACCCAAAGAAAAGATTTACAATTTGAATCCCGAGTCAAAGTATGTTTTTTCGAGTTCGATTCGCCTCTCTTCATGATTCGAGACCTCGACCTGATCAATTCCATCACCGTAAAGAATTTCGACCACTTTCTAAACCATAGAATGGTTTTCGATCTGAACGTAAAGCCTCTTTTCTCGAAGAACATTTTTCCCTGCGCGATGAAAGGTGGAGAGAAGTACGGAACATGTTAACACCGGCCTTCACGTCCAGCAAGATGAAGTGCATGTTCGTGTTGATGCGCGATTGTGCCAATACGGCGATTATTTCGCTTCCTTGTCCGTCGACCAGACAACCTTGGAATTGAAAGACGCATTCACCAAGTATACCAACGACGTGATCGCTACTTACGCATTTGGCATTGACGTCAACTCGAAGAATCCGAAAAACACGTTCTATGTGTACGGCAGGAAGCAACCAGCTTTGGAAGAGCGCACCCTCAGGTTTCTTGCAACCAGAAAGTTTCCATATGGTTATGCCGATTACTCAGTATTAAAATATTCAAGCAGGAGATCATGGACTTCTTCAAGGAGCCAGTAGTTGGTAGCCAGTGCGATATTCGCCCGAGATGAGAACGGTATCGTTCGTTCGGACATAATTCAGCTGATGATGAAGATAAGGGAAATTGGGGTCAGGCAA